GACTTACCATGTGAAAGAGACTGGGGTGGGTGGGAGAGAAAAACACGTCTGTGGCTGGCTTGGCAATGCGAACTGAGTACTAAATTAAAAATTGCCGGCAAACAGATAGTTTATTTATTTATGCTAATAGGGCAGCATAGTCCATATGATTGGTCACAATTGAAATATGCAGATTTGACCTTTAAATCACTGACCTCCCAAGGCGCCCACCAGCTCCCCTGTATTTAAAACTTGTTAACATATTAACTTTGCCATAAATCAAGTGATATATTCGTAATAAATATGAAAACCTTTCAAAATACCAAGATATCAGAATTGACTTACTTGGTACAGATGTAGTTGTAGAAGCAATAGTTGGTAAATCCCTAACTCTTGGTTTTGTAGTTGTAGACAATTCCCCAGTCTGCCGTGGGGGTATAGTCACAGCTGAATCACTTTGTGCAATGTTCTCACCTCTGTCCATGAATAACCCTGAACACTGGTCACAAGAGATATCAGTGCCGCTGAAGTTATACGCAATATTGATGAGTTGTTGGAGATTGGTTCCTCTTTAAACAACTGTGGTGGTTTAGATGCGGGCATCAATTGACTTAAAAATGATGCTGAACAAATTAAGATAGCAATGTATAACCCTGCAGGTATAATTACATGTATTAATAATTATACTAGGGACAGCGGAATAACATAATATCTTTAACATTTTCTCCACCAGACTTTCTTGCTCAAATCTGTCTGCACTTTTTTTTATATTCTTCAATATTTCTGGAGATAAACCTTAATTTTGGAGCCAACAGACAAAATTTAATAAAATTTTTAGTTTCTACTTAAAAAATTTGGCTATTTTTGTCCCAATCTTCGGAAGGAAAGTTCAGACTATAAACGGGACCATTTTGTGAATTTGTGATAAAAAGAGGGAACTGGTGGTGAAAAGATTATTCAAAATTTCAATAGTTACTACAATAATTAATAAACATTCCAATTACAATATTAAAATATTGCTCAGTTGGTATATATGACATTCTTGTGCATTAATTTGGTAACTATCCACATACTGTAGAATACTTTTTTTTTCGTTTGGAATTAATTTTCGCTATTTTCACTTAAGGAATGATTCAATGAAAATAAAATCCAGCGAATATACCTTTATTCCTATACTTTACATTCAACTCGTCAATAATCAGTGAAAATAAATTCCATACAAAACAGCCAAAAAGTCTTTCCAGCGAAAATTAATTCAAGTGAAAATAAAGTATTTTACAGTAGTTCAATTATTATCACAGTAATCCTATTGTGACTCTTTAAAATTGTGATCATAGATTGTATTCTTAAAGGGGAACCAATACTATAAATAGGGGCAAGATGGCCACTGCAATTAGTATGCTAATCCGAACCAAATGACGTGGCATTTACGATGTTTAGAGATCAAGCTGTGATTCCAATTACATTTCTACGGGGGCATGAATATGTACGCTAGCGATTACACTCATCTGGTTGGGTCTTTTAATATATAAATGTTGTTGTTTTCGGTCAAAACCTGCTGCGACAAGTAAAAATCCTAAGTTTAAAACAGCGGCTAATGTCTGCAAAATGCCTGTCAATCACAGTTTGAGTAAGCAAGCATAATAAGCATTCATTTACTTAGTGGCCAGAGGCGGAGTTAATTACCCATGAGCACTTGGTGCAATCCATGGGATTGAGAGATTCCCCTTTAATTCATAGATTAAACTATGCCAGAGCTACAGCAGCACACACTTTATAAATGTGACCGGCAAGAGCGTAAAACCGTCATGATCATATCATGATTGCTTTCTTCTGTTGAAATCATCGAGGTCTGAAGAGTCAATCAATCCATGTAGGACTTTATTTCAAAGTGAATTCACAAATTTCCAGTCATTCTGATGCTGACACAGTAGATTTTGTTGATTTCTCATGGTGATTTTCACATGAGAAGGTGATATAGTCCTGCGT